AGTGGGCAGTTGGCTGAGCCACTACACACTATCAATTACGCTGTCTTTCCCGATTCACAGACTGCCCTCATTTGAATTTACAGTGGCATATCCACTAATAATCTCATTTATTTTTGTGTTGTCAAGAACGGAAACCCCATTAATATTTGCTTTTGTAAATGGGTGTGTTGTACTGAACTTTGTATACATAAGAGCTATTTATTAATGGAAAGATGCAAACACTAACAGGCCAGTGAAGGAGATTGAGAACAGTGCTAAAAAGACTCTGATTGATTTATTAGGACAAAATGTTTCCACAAACAATAGAAGGGAAAGGCTATGCACATTGCTGCACTTTCCCTCAGGAGTGTCTGCCGAAGCTACTCCCGGTCTTGCTTGGAAGGCGGCCCAATGTAATTCTAAGCTGAGATTTTTCATACACAACAACCCACTTGCTGTTGAGTTTTCCTCACTGTCTGTTAAGTGATCCAGTTCATGTAGCTAAGTTTACACAGTGTAGTCTCCGGAAGGGCTCTTCCAGCATGAAAGATTCACAAACCAAAATATGCTTCTGGTTGGCATATTTTCCAAGCCATGAAAAGGGACACAAAAATCTGACAAATCAGAATGTGCTTTGGGGGATAATAAAGTGGCATTTTTACATCAGGGTTGCTGGGCATACTTTTGTGATGCTCTGGACAAATGGGGTGTGGAGTAAGAGAGGGAGGGAAAGGACAGGAGAAAAAAGAGAACAGGATCACCCAGAAGGTGGACAGGCAGGAGAGGGAATGCAGAGGAGAAAGTGTTCCCGGATGTTGGAGATTTTATATGGGTAGCAACACTATCCTAACTCTTCCTTGCTATAGGTGAAATGGACAACAACAACAAAAAGTTTGATTTCCACAGGAAGGACGTTATTGGAAGAGTCAGACTGCCTGTAGTGAATTTCTGTAAGAAATGGGAGAAAATGAACAAACTGCAGACAAGAAAGTGGCCTTGACATAATATGCTTTCTTGCTCAACATTATTTTGCCAAGAAATTCTCCTAGATCCTTAGGGATGCCTGCAGGGCCATGTTCAGTAACCTGAGCATACTCTTTTCAGTATTCCAGCCAGTTCCAATGAATGGACGCTCGCAGTTCCTCTCCAGTGCTCAATGGGAACCTGGGAAATGTCTGACATCAGGGTCTCTGAGAAAGCTGTTGAGCCTTTGCTCCCTACCTTGGATGTTCGGAGCACCTGGAGTAAGGCTACAGGTACTCACCATGGTTTGGAGGGTAGCCTTGGAACTCACTCTGTAGACCAGGATGGCCTTGAACTCACAGAGATTCACCTGCCTCTGCCTCCCCTTGTGCTGGGATTAAAGGCATGCAGTGCCATGTCTGGATCTAGGTAGATGGCATGTGCTTATTTTTTTTTTTTTTTTATTTAACTGACCATTGTAGCAGTACTTATGAAACTTGAGAGGAACCCCTGTCAAAAGACTCCCACTATTTTCCAGGTGATTCTTTTTCTTTTTTAAGCAGGCATACAAGAACTTTGGAACAAGTGTCTCAGAATGGGCTTTCTGAAGCTGTGGTTCTCAACCCATAGGTCCTGACCTCTTCAGGACGAGATGGCCCTTTCAGAGGAGTTGCATAACAGATATCCTGCATATTAGATATTTACATTACAGTTCATAACACTAGCAAAGTTCGAGTTATGATGTAACAATAAAAGTAATTTTATGGTGGGGTCACCACAACACGAGGAACTGGATTAAAGGGCTGCAGCACAAGAAAGGTTGCGAACCACTGTTTTAAAGAATTAGTTTAGCGAAAAGGATAAATACGTGTTTTGATCTCCTTTCTAATAAAATGGCAACACGCTGGGAGCATAGTGACACTGTTTCTACATCTCCTGGGAGTTAACACAAAGTCCACGGTGCCCAGCACCGGAGGGGCAGATCCAGACACACACTGCTAACAGAGATCCCTTAGGGTCAGAGGCGGAGTGCAGTGTGGCACTCCAGCCAAAGGACCATCATGCACTCTGTGATGTCACTGCTTCCCTGAATTTATCCTGCAGCTGTATCCTGTCATCCATGTGCAAACTGACACATTAACAAAGCTATTCTGCATAGTACTGTCACAAAACTGACAGCCTTAGAGGACTGCTCAAATAAATCTTGACATATCTATTTTAAAAGCACCCCCTTCCCACAAACAGGGGAGGTATAGATGCCTAGAGAAAACTGTTATCTCGAACAAAGCTAACTAAGTACATGGGCAAAAGATGGAGTACTTTACTGTGTAAAAGGGGTAGACAGATACCCCTATATGCTTAGATAAGTAAAAAAAAAAAAAAAAATTCTTGAGTACTGTATAAATTAGCAACGATGAGCACCTACTTGTGAGGAGGTATGGAGTAGGGTGGGTTGATGGGACTATGAAGGTTTATATGCTTTTAAACTTTATTATTTTGAATGATGTGAAATACTATTTTTTCAAGATTTGAATAAACTTTTTTGAAAGCTTTGATACTTGGTCTGTTTTTTATAGATTTATCCTTGGCTTATAACTTTCTAGACTGGGGACCTCAGAGGCACAACCCTTTCTCATGTCCACAGAGGGACATGAGAAAAGTATTGTAGAAAACATTGTAGAAGCAAGTGTATGCAGTTCTGTTCTTTCAGTATCTATAGAGGCTCTTCTTCCCCCTAATTCCAGGCTGCATTTTGGATGTGTACAGACCATGGGAAGAGGTAACAGATATAAAGAAAGAAAGGTAGTAGACATGGAGGCTGGGGGAAATGCTTGTCTAATGCATTCCAGCCTTCAATAGAAGCCTAGAAGAGGTGACAGCCTACGCACCAGAAAACTAAACAGTATGGAGCTGGGTTCGGAGCTAGGGTGAGTGGCTACAATGTGGAGCAATGGAGGAGCACATGGGTTGCTGCAGGCTCAGGAGGAATCATATAGGCAGAGGAAACCCTTAGGGAAGGTAAGGGAGCCCCCTGAGGACAGAATTCTAACATGCCCTACTCTTCCTCATGGAGTAGTGAATATAGCATAGAACAGGAGAGAAAGGACCTGTTTAATGTCTAGCTGCTTAGAGTGGAGGCCCCACCCAACTCATCCACTTTATCAGGACTGCCTGGACAAGTCACTTACCTTCTCAGAGCCTCAATGTCCCCTTCTCAGGTGTTAACTAAGCATTCCATATATGCTGCCTAATTTAATCTTCATAGCCACCAAAAGAGGAAGAGTTTTCAATAGACCCATTTTCTAGATGAGGAAACTGAGTTTCAATAAAATCCTTGGTCATAGAACCAAGAAGAGGTAGAGTTAATGTTACAATCCACATGTCTCTGAGTCAAGGTCTGCGTTTGTAGCCACACTGTAAAAAATGCATTTTATGCTGCACAACTCAATAAATACTTGTCGTTCCTCAAGATGATTTCTAGCATGGACTTGGGTGGAACTGACTTATATTTCCCTTAGTCTTAAGCAAAGTTATCAGATTCCTTGTAACAAATTGCAGACATAAGGAATCTCCTGTGCAAAGCACAGTGTGCCCGTAACAAGTCTACTCCCATATTAAGGGCCAAACACAAAAGCGAGCTGAGCATCATGAGAGCCCTAAAAGCTGGACAGGCATTTATCTTTGTGTTGTTCATGAGACATGCCGATTCTTTAAAGTACTACAGCAAGACATGTCACCATGGAATGGGCATAACAATTGTTCAAGTGATATCTATAGAAGAAGTGTCATTATGGGCTGGGTATAAAAATTGTTCAAGTGATGTCCATGGAAGAAATGTCATCATGGACTGGGCTTAAAAACCGTTCAAATGATGTCCATGGAAGAAATGTTACCATAGACTGGGTTTAAAATTGTTCAAGTGATGTGCATAGGAGAAATGTCATCCTGGACTGGGTACAATAGTTGCTCATGTGATGTTCATGGATCCCTCTCTTAAGATAAGCTCTTTGAATTGAAGGCTATAAAGGAGGTTTCTGGTCCCATTTTTTTTTTTTTTAAGCTGTTGGAGGTTTGAAACTGTTAGAAATGGGAAACTTCAAAAGGTTAAAAAAAACCATAGAAAGGACATGATCAGTGTCAGAATTGTACAGATAAAGAGGGGCCAGCCATGGGCTTTCTCACTAACCTGTCAAAATTCCTCCTGTGTTATCACAACTCTGTTTGATTATCCTGGGAATATAACTGAAATTTCACCTCAGTAATTTGATCTACGACAACCAATGGAGACAAGCCATTCCATGTATAAGGTTAGATGTAAATTTTACAAATTGCTTTACTGAAAGTACAAATGTACTATGTACAACATAAGTTGATTACACTCCTCAATAATTTAGTATTAAAAGATTATCAATATTAAATAGTTTATGTAGATAAGCAACACAACTACTATCAAGAGGTTCAAGTGCATTTACAACTTCTAATTGTTTCTTATAAAACTCTTCAGGTTAGTACTTTTCAAAGTATTAAGAATCCATGCACATTTACTTTTTTATGGAAAAACATGTTATATCCACATATGTTCATTTTATCTTTCCTAGTTTTAACCCTTTTTTAAAAATAAATTAAGACATTTTTCATTTATAAGGATTACACTTGTTTCAAAAACAAAAAGAAAAACCAAAGCTCTAAACATGCATTATGCTCTTTTGAAGAAAGCTCCGAACATGCAACATCTGATTTTTTTTTTTTAAGAAAATGGATGCAACATACACACAGACACGCAAACATAGTGCGCCCACAGTATTACCAAGAGGAACAGAAAATACGGCCCAGCCCACAGAAAAAGCAAAGCAAGCACGAGCTGGAGCTGTTGCTGCAAGGGACAGCGGTTACAAGGAGGCTCAGATGGTCTTTACAGATTTACTGGGTGGGGTGGAAAAGGCAAACGTTTGCATGTTCTGTCTAGAAGAATTTTATCCCCAGAGCAACAAAACAAGAGTTCTGCAAGCCAGTCCCGGCCATTAAGACCCCCCTTTATTAAGCTGGGCCGCCCTCACCTGCTCCCCTTCTCTCCTCTCTCCCCAGAAGAAGGCACTTCACGGGAACGTCTGGGAAAGCCCTTGGACTTTATTTTGTTACACCCTCTAAATGGACAAAAAACAAAAGAGAACATGTGTAGAAGACAGTATTTCAATTGGCCACCCAGAGTTCCACACAAATGCCCTCCCTCCACACTCATAGACACCCCTCTATCAAACCTCATTTACATATTTTCAACGGGGTATGCAAAAATGGCTAGCATTAGGTAAGTCTGATGCTGAGGAAGGGACACAGGTAGGGTTGTTCTCCAGAGTGATGATTTACATATCAGAAGGTGGCATTATTTTAGTGGTCACAAAGGTCAGGGAGTCACAATCATAAACTCATTCAGACGTTGGCCTTTCACCTCTGCAGCAGGCACACTGTCCCAGCAAACACACAGATCAGAAGAATTCCCACAGCTTGCAGGGTCTCCAGTGCCCAGTGTGACCTGCCTTCTACCATACATTTTTCTGCATTAGATAGAGCCAGGGTTTCATCTTTACCTTGTATCCTTGACACTTTGGGATAAACACTTTTACACAGAAGGTACCTTAGCAGACAGGGCCAGTTCTTGGCAAGAGTCCTTTGATCATATAAATACCTCTGCATCCAACACTGGACTGTCTATGTGAAGGGTGCACTTTCTGACAAATGCAAACACTTGCAGGTGGCTGATTGTATTGGGATGGCCCAAGCCACCTGGACTATAGCATTTCACCCTGAAATGATTCTTATTCTAAGTTCCGTTCACAGAACAGAAAAGATAAACCCTAAAACATAACCTTTTCTTCCACCTTCTCTTCTACATAACCCATGCAGATATGTAAGGCCAGGCTTCACCTCTCAGACACAAATAGCCGCTGCCTTCCAAGAACCAACACCTCTGGCTTTTTAGTGTTAATGTTTTTCTTCTCCTTTCCTATGAGCTTTAAGTTAGTTTGATCATTACTAGACTGACTGTTAGATAAAAGTGCTTGTCACTGGAGCCAACCTTTAGAGAAAGAAGAACTTGGGGACAAGGTTAAAAGTGGGAGGGATTGTGCAGTTCAGAACTTCCTGTCTCCCTCTGTTGAAACTAGTCTGTCACTACAACGACTGTCCTCCAAACATCAGGAATCTGTTGTGTGGCTGCGAACACTATTCTGAAGAAACCATGAGTGTGTTGCAATGTTTTTATAAATTTTCATAAAAACTTGAAATTTGCAGCTTCCTAAAATATTTAGACTTTTTCTCAACCCTTAGCCCCGCTCTGAATTCTGCCAGATTTACTCTTTCGGGAATTTTGGAGCAGAGCCGGCTATCTCTGCAGTTTTTCCTCACGCACAATCGCAGGCTCTTGCAACTCCCACCCATAAACTGACAACACTCTAGTGAGAAGCAAATGCCAGTAACTAATATTCCAAACAACCCAGGGGTAACCCGAGCAAGCCCAAGTAGTAGCCCTGGGAGGGAAGGCAGCGAATTGTGAAGGACGTGGCTCACCAGCCTAAAACAAACACCTAAGCTTTAGGAAAGTGAGCTCTCTCCGTTTAATACTGTACCAGCCAGCACAACCTGTGCTGTCTTTGAAGTAACAAGGAACATGTTTAAATGGCAACCTTTGGATGTGCTTCCCTCCCGCTTTTGTCTAATGACTGTGTGTTAGCCTGTTCCAAGAGTTTCCACTGGCATCTCAGGGCCAACTCGACAGCAGGGGGCCGGTTACTATAACAACTGACAGCTCTCATGAATTCTGAAAGGCCCCCGAGTAGCCATTTGGGAAACAGTTATTGAGCAAAAAGTTGCCTGGGATCGGAGGCATTAGCTGCCACGTGAGTCTGCTTTCCTTGAACAGTTGGGAGGAAGGGGGGGTGCCCATCTCCTGGACACCTGGGGACCTCAAAATACCCCCACCCCCATTCCTTTCATATTCTCAGGGCAGGACAGTTAAACACCGCTGCGTTATCAGAATCCCACACCTCCAAGGCAAGTCTTATTTTGGCACCATGAAATGTGTCTTAGCTTTCCCCACAGGTTTGACACATTTTTCAGGCTTTGGAGAGCTGACTGGTAAAAATTATTCCTGATGGTTAAAAATCTTGAGATACAGCCAGACAGAGAGAGAGAGAGAGAGAGAGAGAGAGAGAGAGAGAGAGAGAGACAGAGAGAGAGAGAGAGAGAGAGAGAGAGAGAAGGTCTAGGTGGAGATGAATTGCACAAGCAGTAATGAACTTTAGAAGAAAACAAACCACCAGAACACACAAAACACCTATGTAGAAACGACAGAGGTAAGTGCACAAAGCCATTGAAAGTGACGTGGATGCTTTGGTTTTTCTACCCTTTGATTCTCACTTTCTTAGGACAAGAGGATACTGAGCAGCTGGGACTGAATACAGTGTTTTGTATATGCAGAACCCTCCAGAAAAGGCCAATGAAAGGTCAAGAAAGTACCTTTTCTTGACACAAGGGAAGCATCACTTGAGGGACAAACCTATCGCCATATTGAATGCTCATAGTGCATCTATATGGCCACCTATGTCTGAGCAATTATTCTCCACTTTTTTTTCCCTGCAGAATCGCAGCTGAAGTATCCTATTCTTGGCTCTCACTCCTTTCCACTATACTCTAGTTATGGTCAAGTTTCTTACAGAGCTCACTGTCCCCCTTTATCATGGCTGGGACCCTGGAAGACAAATACATCCAGGAGTTGGGCCAGAAGACAAGTGCCTGCAGACCATGGTCACCTGGCAAACAGTAACCATAACAAAGCAACCACCGGGTTTGCTCTGTCCAGCATGGTGTCACCACGAAGAAAGGTGACAACAGTGTAGCTGGGGTTCCTAGTTCATGCAAATGGGACAGATAGCTGGGGACTGAGTTAGAAGTTATTTTCAAAGAGCACAAAAATTAAAAAAAAAAAAAAAAAAAAAAAAAAAAGAGGGGCAGTTTATATAGGTCACTGGCGAGGTAATCTTTATTTACTTATTTCTTCTCTCCTCTACTAAGTCTCTTTGCAAAGCAGGAATTCTGTCTCCTGGAGGATTCTCGGGTATCCTGTAAAAAAGTATATGTGTAGTGAATGAACCAACACAGGAAGGAGTCCACGGGTAAACCACAAAGGCCTTGTAGGTTCAGCAATACAAAATCCTAGCTGTGAGAAGTAACACTATGAGAGGTAAGTGATCCTAGTCGGTTTTCCTTTCTGGAAACTGTTTCCTCTCTCGGAGCACGGTTAATCTTCTTCCTGATGCCCTGGCCTCCATATAGAATGCCTAGAATCAGAAGTTTCACACATGCGGGGAATAGCAGAGTGTACTTTGATGGCCCAGGTCCTCAGGGTGCCACAGCAGGGGACTTGTTCATCTGAGGCCTACTGAACCTACTGAAAACTCTTTAGAAGGTGTTAGGGCTCAGTGGTAAGAGCACTAACTGGCATGCCAAGGGCCTGGGTTCAATTCCTAGCACCTCACAGGGAAGCAAATGTAACAGTTATTGGTGGCTTCCACTAGCAGCTTCATATTTAATGTCCCTTCAGCTATCTACCTAGAAAAGCAAATTCTTAGTAGACTGTGCCCCCTATGACTCTGCCAGGGTGGGAAGCAGGCAAACACCTCATCTCAAGCCACTCTCAGCAGTTGAGGAAGTTCTGCTGTCAGAGCAGCAGGTGCAGAGGATGCCTCGGCGCCTGCTTACAGGAGCTGTCACAGTCATTGCCACTGCTGTGGAACTGCAGGGAAGACCCACTTTCCAGAGATGCATGTGACCAGTCATGCTGCAAGCACGTGGCATGTTCTCATATGCCCACACTCTACGTTCATGTGTTTCCACCTGCTTGAGCCTCCATTATGCCAATAAAAACCCCTACACATCTGCAGTTTGTATCCTTTGGTATCCTCCACACTGTCTCCCACTGAACACGAAGGGAAGAAAAACACTGCAATGTCAACAAAACTCACTTGTGTTCATGAACGGCATTCTTAATGAGGAGGCATCAACATGTAGAAAGATCTAAAGGTGGAATTCAGAGAGAGAGAGAGAGGGAGGCAGAGAGAGACACACACAGAGAGAGAGGTGCAGAGAGAGAGAGAGAGCGAGCAAGCCTTTTCTACTTGTGGATATGACTTACTGACATGAGCCAACTGACTTGCCACAAAGTTTATAAACAATTTGGTCACATGTTCAAGAGGGACTTGCATTTATGAGATTAGAGCAGTCTCAGCAATATGAGTAATCTTATGACCAGAGGCTATAGTTTCCACTTAAAAAGTTTACAGCCCTATGGTGCAGAACCTATGAAGTTAGCTGAGGCCTATTTGAAGTAAGGCTGCTTTGTATTTCTGTGAAGTCCCTTTCCAAGCTAGAATTATGGTCCATAAGATACTACAGACATTAGCACTAATCCACTGGGACGAAGGCAAAGTAGGTTATATTATTCGACATCAAAATTTTAAACTAATAGACATGTAGCTGAATGTAAACATCATTATTGAGTTCCCAGAACACCTGAAAATACAATTATTTCTCAGAGTTTTCATACACATAATTTTGACAGATTCAAAACCCAAGTTGGTTCCTGGCCAGTCCTCTAGACCAGGTGGCCATTACTGTGAAAACACCACACAGTAGCAGCTAAACAGTTCCTTGGCCTGCAGTGTCTGTTTGACCTGTAGACATGAAAGCAGGCTCCATAAGGAATACCTATCATGCACGTTATTTCCCCACCTGGGGCAACATAATGTAACAGTTAAGATGGTGGGCCATGGGGTCTCGATACAGGGATCAGTGATCAAGAACACTTTCTGGGTCTGGTTCCTATCCCATGTACAAAGCTATAACCCTGGCTCTAGACTCTACCAGGGCTATTTAGGGTGGAGACAGGAGGACTCCTGAGGCTTGCTGACATAAGCCCAGCTGTAGGTTCAGAAAGTAACCATGTTTCAAAAGGAAAAGCAGGACATCAATTGTTCTCTCTTACGGTCTTTGTGCGCACACACACACACACACACACACACACACACACGCACGCACGCACGCACGCACGCACGCACGCACGCACGCACGCACGCACGCACGCACGCACGCA